ATTTGTAATAAAGTTCACAGCCCTTTGGCCGCCGGGAAGAAGGAGGTGGAGAACCGAGGTGCAGGTGCAGGTGCACTTACGCGGTGGCCTCATTCCGTTTCCACGGCTCTCGGCCACGCCCCCTCGCCACAGTATTGTTGTTTTTTCTGGTTTGAAAAACTTAAAGTCAATAAAAATATCTAAACCTCAAACGTCAATTTCCCGCTAACATTTGATCGCTGGTCTGTCTATGAGCTGACATACTGACATATTGTGAAAATGTACCTTCGTATACATTTCTGGAGTGCAAATTATTTAGCCAGAGTTACGTATGACTGCATTTCATCCTTAAAAGAACGCTACAGGGTGGTATGACACTGCCAACGGCTTCTGTTTCCTTTCGCGCTACCAGCTGACAACTACATCCGTGTGGATGGCTGTTCAGCTGTCACCAGTTTCCCCATTTGCTCGCTGTGTGCGTCGGCAGACTTGAGATGGAGGGAGGAGTTGACCACGATCACGTGGTTCGAGTCTGACAGAGAACGGTTCCAAAAAGTAGGTAAATCAAAAACAAAAGGCAGAAAATTAATGAACAAATAAATAACAGGGTGAGATCTGAAAATGCCGGAAAAATCAGGCGGCCACGGAGGCTTTCCTTTTTCTTGCTTTTGAAAACACTGTCTGTTATGTTTAGGAAAGGCAGTGGGCAGGTTAATCTGTGCTTTTGAAAACACTTTTGGTTGGTTTTAGGGAAGGGGGTTTGTCGGGTGATATTAGTTGGTCGATCGGTCAGTCAGTCGACAGCGGCATCTGGTGGATTTACACAAGAACAGCAGGTGCAAATGGCACGCGAGAGAGAAATTTGAGACCTGAAAAAGCGTACACAGCGGCCTCTAGTGGATTCACAAAAACAAAAACTGCAAAAAAAGTACCTCCTGTGACTATTTTGCGCTGTCCAAAAATGTATACAGGGGCATGTATCCATAATGAGCCTGGGTTGCAAACAAACAATCCGCTGATGAATCTGCACCGCTTTAAAACGATCCAGTCCCAAACTTGGTAAACAGCCATGAAGTGTGGTGAACTAGTAACCTTCACGGCCAATCACTGTCATTTCTCAACAGCACTTAAATGTTAGTGGAAATGGACGTTTTTTTTTTTTGTTTCAGTGCCATGAAATTCAGCATCGTGACAACATTACTTGAAATTGTAAAAATCATCAAGTTAACTTAATTGATTTGCGTTGAGACAACATGAAGGCAGTGTGTGGAAGCCAGCATTTCTTTCAGAGTGAGGGGTTCAAAAACATCTGATGCCAGCCAACAAGATGTTTTAAAAAAAAAAAAAAAACTACAATAAAGTAAAACTTGCTAAAAGACTAGTACTATTATACAATAAATCAAATAAAAACCTATCTTGACTATTATAATAATACTTTAACTTCTATAATACGTTAATGCTTTAATAATACATTAATGTCTACACTGCATGTTACAATATAAAAAATTTTGTTTAAAATTATTCTTGCTTAAATACCATAGCTTTTGTTTTGGTGGAATTCTAGTAAAATTATATAAAGTACAAATAAAAAATGTCAGTGTGTAAATAAGTTGGTCAATTCAATTCAGTTATATTTAGCAGATTTAAAAACAACCGTCATTCACCAAAGTGCTTCACAATGTCAGAAAAAAAATACAAATAAATACAAATAAAATAAAAAGCGTTGTATTGTATTGAAAAACTCAACTCGAAGTGAACGCCAATGTATACAGGTGTGTCTTAAGCCCCGGTCAGATCACACAATATTGTCACGATTTCGGCACGATATTCTTGATGTAGGGTGTTGTTGGGATTCAAAAGCAACAAATGGGCATCGTGACACAAGATTCAATCGTTTCTTCTTGTGTAATGTGGCATAGTTCACGACAACCGATACCATGCCTGCGACGCCTCAAATGTCTAGCATTGTTTTCTCGTTCTTCACGATGAGTTCTGTCAAGTGGGTGACACTGCAATAGGAGCACATCATTTTTCAGTTATCTCAACGTGTGCTTACGTTAATGCGCCGGTTAGGTAATCAAAAATAGGCTGTATATTTACTTATGGGTGGGTCACAGGTGGATATGATTAATCATTGTTTATGTAAACTTTAACTACCTTTTCATGTTTTAAGGAATTTTATCTGACACTGGCACAAATGTGTAGACATCTCTATTCTCACAATGAGTTTCTGAGTTCACTCAGCCTTCCAACAGAGTTTGTTCCTCTGATGTAATCTGGGAACATGTTTATTGCGTGTCTTGCTTATTTAAATTTGTCATTAATAGTGAAAAAAGTTTATTATAGGCTCCTCTGAAACTGTGAATATTTCACTTAAACTTTATTTAGGCTAGATTGTTATTTTATTTAACAAACCAACACAATCTCACAGTGTTTTGATGCATATAGCGGACTTGTTTTGAAGCACATCACATTAAATGTTATTCGTTATTCTTGTTTATCGATAACTGACCAACAAAAGATACATTAAAATTAAAATAAAAACTATAGCAAACGAAATTTGTTTAAAAAAGATATTTTTTAGAAGAAAAATATACTAATTGTAGTTTTGTTTGAGCCCCTCCACTACTCAACTATAGGGGTGGATGATTTATTTTGCTCTGAGGAAAATAAGGATTTAATGAATGCTTCACTGTGATTGTATCACAAATCTCAGTTATATTTTTGCTCATTTTTTTATATGTCATTATTTTAAATATTATGTCTTGAACATCTGATTTTTCCCTTCTGCTGCTTATTTGCCTTAATTTTCTCATCTCATTCGCGGCAAGTTCAGATGAAGTATTTAATAAACCCATGGCAGGACAATATACATTTAAATTTCAAAGAAAATACCTTTTTTTTTATTAAAAAGGAATCATAAGCTTGATCCTATCCATGTCGAAAGGAATGCCCTTGAATAATGTACTTAGTTGTCTGCAAGCATCAGTCTTTATTGAGATTGAAATAAGATAAAAAAAATTTAATTGAGATCTTGTTATAGCAACACTTGTGACTGCTTTCGAAAATAACACTCGTGGACGTCACGGGAAGACTGATTTGTTACCCACGACAAGTTAAGATTTTATCAAGAAACGAATCGCATATCTGAAAGAGTGACTTTCGTAACCGACAATCATGTGATCTGACCGTGGCTTAAAGCATTGATTTAAAAAGACCAACAGTTTGAGCACGTCTTATATGACTTGTAATGATAATGTTGTATGACTGTAATGTAACAATGAGAGATTGTAATGTAATAATGTTCACATTTTGTAAAGCTGCTTTATTATGATGATTATGTTAATAGTGCTACACAAATAAACTTGCATTGAAATAAATTAAATTATTGAACATTTATCCTAGTAAAAATATGATAATAAAATAAATAAGTTTGGAGCAGCCACAGAAAATAAACACTTTTTGCACATCACACAGTAACGTCCTATGTTTTTACTATCACACAATTCTGTGTTGCAATTTAGTTATATTTTAATTAATTATGCCACCACAGTTTACATTTTACATTTAATTATTAGCTTTTGATCTACTCCCAAAATAATCCACATAAACCCCCACTTGAAAACAAATAATTTTAACAAACATACATGTTTTAAACTCTGTAACTTTTAAAAAAGCAAGACTCTGTTATGAATTAAAGAATGTTTAACTGGTTTATCAGACTTCCAGGCTATAATAAGATGACTTTGTTTTCTTTGTACTGTTCTGGCAGATATAAAAAGACGTCTGAGACTCTGAGCACAGCAGGACAGCGAACCTCAGCGGCTTTCAGTAACCTGGGCACCGCCATCAGCAGGAAGTTCGGGGATATGAGGTACCGTGCCACTTCCCCCTCCGCTTTATTTCTGCTCTCTCATCATTTCCTCTTTCTCTTCTGCAGGGATTTCCTACAAACACATACAGTAGTTAAGCATGAAATGGCAGTTTTGAGAGGTTTACTTCAGACGGTCTGTTTGAGCGGCATGTTTGTGTTGCGTAAGCCTCATGTAATCAGCTTTCAGTGGGCCAGACTGAGGGCAGATCCAGCTGGCAGAGAAATAAGAGCTGGCAATGACATGAAGAATTTACCAGCTCCTGGATGCTGGAGAGACAATAGAGGCTTTCAGAAATGCCACATAGATGAAGAATCAACTCTTCTTATTTAGTTTGAGTTACTTAATATGGATTAATATTAATGAAAATGAGTATATATATATATATTAGTGTATATGTAACTACTGTATGTACAGTGGGGAAAATAAGTATTGAACACATTAATATTTTCCTGAATATGAAATTTCTAAAGGAGCTGTTGACATGAAATCGAACCAAATTTTGGTAAAAACCCAAACAAACATCGGTCTTGTCTATTAAATCTGTTCTTTAATGTGTATTTTCTACTGGATTCAAGCCATTCTATAGCCAGATTTCTTTCTCTGAAAACATTTGAGAGTTTCCTTGGCTGTGTTTTCATTGTTTTGCTGAAATGTCCACCCTGGTTACATCTTCATCATTCTGCTTATGTAGATGTTGGACTAAAGCAGCTAATATTTATTTACAATGATGAAGGGCAGAGGATTGATCAATAACTGATGAGATTCCAGCTGCTGTCTTGGCTTTCACTGCCTTTCTGCACCTCCTTCATGTGTTCAATACTTTTTCCCTCGGTCATTTCATTTTAATACATATAATTTAATTTGTATACTAATTAGGTTTGTTTTCTTTGCATGCTGTATATGAATTTCTTAGGTTGTTACCAACATCCGGGGAAAATTATGTGCACATTTTGTAGCACATAAAAAGCAGTGTTTGCATTATAGTTATTGTAAATAGCGCTATACAAATAAACATAAATTAAAAATAGTAGAAATATGGGTTACACTTTAGTTTAGTTCATAATTCGCATGGTATTAACAAGCCATTAACTAACAATACTGACTTAATAAACTACCAATTAGCTGTTTAATAATAATTAGTAAGGTAGAAGTTTAGGTTTTGGGTAGGATCAGCTGTGCAGAATTAGATCATACTTTATAACTACGAATGAACAGTTAATATCTTAATAATAGGCAGGTAATAAATCAGTAATTAATAGCATGAATTGTGACCTAAGCTAAAATGTTGCCGAAATATGCTAATAAATGTATTCATACATTCCCCAAACTAAATTAATGATCATATTTCTTCTTAGAAGTATACAAAGGTGAAAAGCTTTTTTATTTTACAAAGCAGATTTATTTTCACTGAACTTTTGCTTATATTTACAAAGGGTGCCAATAGTTTTGACCAGGATTGTATAATAATCTGAATCATTTCTCGTTTCCAACTTATATCTTCCTTCTGACTTCGCTTTAGCAAAATAATGTTGATTTGACTGTTAGTAGATGGTAATGTAGATCCAGCACCTCATTAACTTATTTTACTCCAGCATGTTTGGCCTTCAGGCTCTGTATCCCAGGAGGTATGTGTGTGTGTTGCCAGTCTGAAAAGCTTCTTTCTGCATGGTTTTCTGCTACAAGTTTGCAGTGGAAATTCCGCAAACTGCATGATTACAGACGATTACAGTTAAATAAAACAGGTTATTTTGGAGTGTAATGATACATTGATTTGTCTTTTGAAGTCTTTTGGTTCGGCACATACACAGTATACTATGTACTGTATCTGATTGTGAAGTGTTTTTTTATCCACAGGTTTTTATCTATATTAATATATAAATAATATTGGTATTTTATGCCAATACTAAGATCAGTCTCTTCGATGCTGTCTCGTTTGAGGTGTGAATAAAACTTTGAGACATTTTATAGCATACCTCTTGCACAATAATGTCAATGTGCTGTGTGATTTGTTACTTTTCACAAACAAGCAAAGTCTTTTAAATTCTGGAAATGAAAAGAATCAGTGCTATTTTTGAGGCCGTTAGTGTTTGATGTGGCATTATGATATCAAATTTCCAACAATTTGTTCAGTTAACCTCAGTTAATCTCTAGAAAAAAAAAGATGCAATTTTATGTATAGTTTTTTTACTGGACTGCGACTAAGGTTTGTATCAAATCATTTGTGTATCATTACACCTCCACAAGTGATGCTTTTTGCTTCTCTTATTGCAATATTTTTGTTCTGTGACTAATATATTTAGGATTTTTTTTTAAATCTGGCAACCTTTTTAAAAATAGCTAAAAAAATGACTTTTTAATATTGTTTATAAGTCAAAATTCTTAGTAATGGTTTATAATTAATTAATAGTTGATATAAGCATACCTACAGTATACTGTATAGTTCAAAATTTCTGTTTTGAAAGTGCTTGTACTGTAAATGTATAAAGCCAGATCAGTCTAAAAAAATACATTTGCATTAAAAAAATTCATAAATGCACAACACAATTCATAAATCCACCACTCCAATTCGTAAATTCAAAACAATTCATCAATTCAAAACTAAAAAGCTAAAATTTTCCCCAAATGCTCACACATGCATCGTACATAAATACATTTAAAATGTTTACACAATTATGTATTTATGAAGTTCTTGGATTCCTTTCCTTATCCATTTATGAAGTATGTTAGATGTATTTATGAACCACTAATGTGCATTTGAAAATGCTCACACAAGCTCGAAGTCCTTTGAATTTGTCCGGTATTCTTGAGATCCTTCTGGCAGGACATAACTCATACACATCTTTGTTTTTGAAGGATACTCTTTCAGCCAATCGCGGTTTTTTTTTTATCCATCAGTCAAAATGTTATTTACTGAACAAACTCAAGGAGCTCCACCATTTAATTATTATTATTTCATATAAAATATATTTTTTAGCAGCATTATTAGACATTTGTCTTTAAATAGCATCATAGTATGTATATATATATATATATATATATATATATATAATATTATATATAATTTTTTACAGAAATATTATACTTTTGAAATGATAAATTGTGTTTTGAATTTATAAATTGGAGTAAATGTAATATTTTTGAGACTGATATGGCTTCATATTAGTGAGTTTAATGAAAACTTGACATCAATTGGATACATTTGTTGTACATTTATTTATTCACTTAATTTTACTTACTTTCTATCTCTGGTTTTATTCCTATAGTGTGTTTACCAGTAAAATTAACCAATACACTTGCTTAAAAGATGTATTTCCTGCATGTTTTCCTGTTGATTTTAGTCTAAAATGACCAAAATCTTGTCATATGGCCTAATAATCTGTCAAAAGGAAAGATTTACCATGTTCTTTCTCTATCTCTATTTCTGATGCGCACCAAAGGTCATATTCTATTGGGTAAGATATTGTAGATCCCAGATAGAGATTAGCAATAGCTGGCTTCCTTCAGCTTCTGCATGTTACATGAGAACAGTGACCGTGCTGAAACCAAACCTGACTTTAAGACAGGACACAGTGTTTCCATTAATAATCAACATGACTGTGAAAGTGCATTCGATATCTGAGCAATCAATGTGAATGTTTCAAGATGATTTCTAGAGTGTCATCCTAACATTAATTCTAACAGCATGAGATGCCATAAACTCACATGGATGGTTCAGTCTTTCAGAATGTGTTGTAGCATTATAATTGCTGTATTTTTTATTGGAATTAGGGAGTCTTTGAAGCATCAATGATTCCATCAAGAGCCTTTAAAGTACTTTTCATTGGAGAAAAAAAGGTTCCATGTAGTGAAAATGCTTTTTTAAAAGGTTTTTACATTGAACATAAAGTGTTTTTTTTTTTTGTTTTTTTTAAGTAAGAGGTTAAGGAAACAATTAAGGGCCATGGTGTTTTTTACACACATTTTTTATTTCTCTTTGCTATTTGGGCTTATTTGAACCTAATTAAAATAAAACCTAAGTATCATCTTTTGATATGATGTACTTTTAGAGTAAAATGATGTCCATATATGTGGACTCGTGGTCCGAATTTATATAAAACACTTAATCCTGACTGTTTTTTAATGCATTAATAACACATACATATTTTTGAAACATGTTTTCGCTATCAAAGAGTAAAAACAATTTAAATTGCCCATTTTGAACAGTTCAAAATAGTGTTTGAGACATTTCATATGCTACAAAACAGTTGCAGGATGACACTATTGACACAATTTATAAGTGTAGAAATTAGGCCTGTCAAAATAATCAATATATCGACTTTTCGCACAACGCATGGAATGTGAAATGTTTACTTTTAAAGAGCCCCTATTATGAGTTTTTGAAAATCCCCTTCCATGTGTATATCACAGCTCTAAGTGAATGTGAAAGATTACCTTGTTTAAAAATATACATTTTTAATAAAAGATTCGACTCAGAGTTGGTTAAATGATTCGTCGTTCGTCCGGATCTTTCGCTTGTCTCATATCGACGTCAATACGAAACAATACCCAAATATGAAGTGCTGGATCTGGTAAAACATTAACTTAATAAGTGAACGTTCTGGTGATTAGTACAATAATACCCGGCAACGGGGGATTCGTCAGCCGTTTGTTAAAGGTAGGATTAGAAAAGACTATTGATGTTTGGGACTTTGTCAGGAACTTTATTAGTACACAGTTCATGGATCAGTTTCTTCCTCCATTTCACAAGTAAGTGTGATTAAAATGGTTGCCTATTTGTTTTCTTTAGCTTGCCAAATATGTATTTAATTGTGTTTTGTTGCTTGTAATCGCTCCACATGGCTTGTACTGTATCTGGTTAACATTTTATATTTACATATCATGTCTAAAGCCATGTTGAAAATGTGTCGCGTGCCACTTTCTTTATGGATTTAAATGCGTTTGTGAGCTCGCGATCCTCTGCCATTTGTCCTTGCTATAGCGACCGTCAGCTGTTCCTATAGCTGTTTCAAAATAGTTCAGTTTTTGCCACTGTGTGGATTAATACTGAATGTGTGTCACTGTTTTTACTTATGGTTAAGAATTGAGCTATAAAAAATGGTGTTTAACTGCATTGCGGACCAATCAGCGCAGATTAGAATCACGCCAAGGAGAGATTTGGAAACAAATGAATTGCTGAACACATCATATGGGAGTCCTTGGGATAATTAGTTAAAAATAAATGCAAATATCATAAGACAATGGAAGTGTTTTTTGACTCCCAAAACCAAAATATGACCTTTTATAATGCATAATAGGGGCTCTTTAAATATTATTAATTTATTTAGGATATACGTTTTCACATTCCAATTCCAATGCCCACTTATTAAATTGTAAAAATGGCTATAATTTAATTAAATATTCTTAAGAATAAAATATTATGAGTTCTTTGGAAGAGTGTACTTGCATTGTGATGATATTACATTCTGACACTATATAATGAGAGGCATACAATGGTCTCAAAATGACAATAATATTGTTCATCGCAATATATATTTTTGCAATACAGGTATATCGTACAAAAAAAACTGATATTGTGACAGGCCTAATAGAAATAAAAATGTTCCCCCTATAAAGAAGCTTTTGTGCAATTGGTGTTAAATTTCCTGAATGGAAGCTCATATTAAAATAAGAAACCTTTATTTGTAAAAGTGTAGGGAACTGGTTTCAGCAGGTGTTGCTTTTTTATTGTGAACTATTTATGTGTTGACGAATAATGCATGTAATACCCTGTGTTGGTACATTAAGTATGAAAGAAAGAGTGGCACATCTTTACACTTGCTTTGAGTAATGTTTTTTTTAACATGCTTGTGGTTTATAGTAATATAGTACATTGAAAAGTAAGAAGCTTGAATTTTAGAGTTTGGGGTCTGCAAGAGTTTTTGTTGTTGTTTTTAAAGAAATTATTATTTTTTTATGCAGTAAGAATGGATTAAGGGGAGAGTTCACCCAATATTCTGTCATCATACTTACCATTTATTTGTTTCAAAAATGTTTTTTTCTGTTGGACACAAAAGAAGATATTTTAAAGAAAGCTGTAAACCTGTAACCATTGACTTCCATAGTGTTTGTTTAACTATTTGTCAATAGTTACAGGTTTAAAGCTTCTTCAAAATGAATTACTTTGAGTTTAAGTAAAGAAACTCATAAAGGTTTGGAACCACTTGAGAGTGAGTAAACAGTGAGTAAATTGTCATTTTACTATGACAACTATCCCTTAGTTGAACTATACCTTTTAGTTTGTTAAAATTGTACGTTTGTACATGCTGTTCATTAAAGAGTCCTGTGTTCTTAAAATATTATGCAGCACAGCTCTTTTCAACATAGATACTATTAAGAAATGTTTCCAAATCCCAACTCGGAGATCAAAGATATATATATATATATATATATATATATATATATATATATATATATATATATATATATATATATATAAAATCAAAACAGAAAACTGTTATTTTCAATTGTACTAACATTTCACAACAGTTGTTTTACTTGGTATATTACAATCAATTCAGCCTTTAAGAGGTTTATTTCAAAAATGCAAAGTCTTCCAGACCCAATACATTTCATTGATAGAGTGTAGATATAGTAAAACTACTGCTTCAGACTTTACTTAAATATTACTAGAATTACAGCTTTAAATCTATTAAGTATTAGCATTGTATGGATTTCATTTGCAATGAATGTGTTTGTCCATGATAATGATTGAACCCTCTCTTGCTTGGCCATGCTTTCATGGGACAGCTATTCTGTACGGCATTCAATGAGCATGCCTGCCATGAGGTAAATGTGTGTGACAGCCTATCTTGCATCTGTGTATTTACTTTTTTTTTTTTTGCATTTAATACCATCTTCTACAACATCCAGAAATGTAATGTTCTAAGACGCAAACATGCGCCACATATGCATATATAAAATGATACAGGTTGATTATTAGAATATCTGTCACACTTTACAATAAGGTTCATTAGTTAATGTTAATTAATGCATTTACTAGCATGAACTAACAATGAACAATACATCTACTACTGTATTTGTTCATGTTAGTTAACGTTAGTTAATGAAAATACAGTAGTTCATTTCTAACTCATGATGCATTAACTAATGTTAACAAGCATGGACTTGGATTGTTAATAACTATTATGCTCAATTTTGATTAATAAATGCTGTACATGTGTTGTTCATGATTAGTTTATGTTAGTAAATGCATTAACTAATGAACCTTATTGTAAAGTGTTCCCAGAATATCATATGTATGTACAATACAGTCTAATTTATTAACACTATAAGTAATGATATATTATATAGTCATGTCCATTAAATATATATTAAAGTGGATTTTGTTCACCTAACATATTTAGGAATAGAAAGATAATGCATTTAAAGTTAAACGAGTTATTTCAAAAACAAAATTATATATATTTATATATACACACAATTTAAGTCAGAATTATTAGCCCCCCTATGAGTTTTTTTTTAAATATTTCCCAAATGATGTTTAACAGAGCTTTTTTTTTTTCTCTCTCTCTCTTTTGTTTCTCTTTGTTTTCCCCCCCAACATATTGATCTGGGTGTACACTTTTTTTTTGGACTGTGATCTTAAGTGTTTTTCTTTGATTAGTTTCCTTTGGTACTGACTAATCAAATGTATGAACAAATATATAAGTGTAAAGCATCCTATAAAAAAATATTAAATTAAAAGAGAGTTCCATCCATTCACTGTCTGTCTGTTTGTCTGTCTGTCTATCTACCTGTATTTATGTATACATATCACATGAACTTCTTGAAATTCTGTTTATTCTGAGCTTGTTTAAAAATAAGTGTTTATTTATCACTTCTTGCGATTTCTCACTATATTGTTAAATATTTTTATGTAGTTTTTTGCAATAACTTTATATTTCACAATTCACAATTTATTTATACAAAATAGCTACAAACTTGTAAGTCAAAATAGTTGTAAAGTCACAAAAAAGTCAAAGTTTATAATAACTTGTTGCAATTTTATAATTAGAAATAGAATAGCTCACAATTCTATAAAGAAAAGAGAAAACGAGTACTCATAAAAATGTATATTTTATTCTGTGGCAACCATCACATTCTTTGGGTTTATAGTTGTATTGATTTTAATATTGTTGAATGAAACTAAACTCTTCATTATTTTCCAGGAACTCGCCTAGCTTCAAGTCCTTTGAGGAGAAAGTTGAAAGCACAGTTTCAAACATCAAGGTAAGCCTGACATATAATCGCCTCAGTGCTCAAACGACCAAATTGTGACTTGGTTTGACCCTGAGTTTGAGTCCTGTTAATAATTGATACGCTTATCATTGGGAGTTTTCAACTTCCCATTGCTGGATGCCAAAAATTCAACATAACGTCATGGATGTTCTGTGTTGTGAGCAGTCAAAGGTTGGAGGAACAGGAGGAGCGGGCAGTTTTGAAGAGGTCCTGTCTTCAGCTGCACACGCCAGCGCACAGGACACCCCTACCAATAATGTGACAGAGAGCAGCGAACGCTCATGCTAAAGCTGACAATGGAACACAGATGGAACTGTAATGCTCCCTAGTGGTGTGGAGAATTTGGTGAAAAATGCCCAGGGGGCCCAACATTTGCTGCGTCCCAATTTGCATACTTATACCATAAAAATATGTACTCTTTATGTGAGGACATATTTGTGAGTGTGCAACAGAAGAGTTTGTGAGCTTTTGGACAAACTATTTTATCGTTAATGGATTGTTATGTTGCTTAATTACAGGCATCATATTGTCACATCATCCACATTTCATTTATGATGAATTTGCTATTAAATTTGAGATTAAGTAGCATGTTATACAGCCTTTTACAGAGAAATCTACACATTTGTTTGCATAATTGTGCATTCAAAGGTTAATGGCCGAATGCATATATATAATAACGTTTCAGATGAAATATATAGTGGATAACAGGACATATTTTTCATCTGGTTAAATATTAATCATAAGTTCTTTAAACGCTTTTACTTAAAAGCCTCTTCACTTAACGGCCATATGCACCCACCATGTTTGTATTTTTTTAAGCACATTTTACCAGTGTTTGTAGTCTTTACATCTAATCGGATACATCTGCACTACAAATTTCTCCCAGAAATAGCACACTATCTAGTTAACACTCATTTAAACTACTATGATTTGTGACACTGGGACTGGGATGGATAGTATGCTAATTGGGATGCAGCAATGGTAATAATACATGCTTTTGTGTGCTGGTGGATTATCCGTCCAAAATGTTTCTAATCTTTTGTATGGAAGAAAAATAACCAAGTGGAGCATGTATATTCTTTAACTTTTCTTCGAAATGTGTATATTTTCTTAGGAGACTTTGGAGCAGTCTTACGTTATTATTATTTATACTAACTCAACATTAATGTAACCGTAACAAAGCATGATGCTTTTCCCAGACCAAAAATACTGGCTGAATATCCAAACCTAAGTGCGGTACTTGAAAGTATGTTTATGACTTTAATGTTGTCATATATCTTAATATGAATATATTTCTGTTGTATTCAGTCCTCGGTTAAACACTGACAAAAATGATTCATTGGATTTACTCAATGTTTTTTAAGTTAAGTGGTTTCGAACTATTTATACGGGCTGAATTTAAACCATTACTAAATTTAATTACTTTGTTTAAATTTAGCCCATATAAGTAGTTTGCTGCCACTTACCTTAAAAACAGTGTAAATCCAATGAATAGTTTTTTTTAGTGTAGATCATGTTTGCTGTTAACAAATGCAAATTATAGAACAATAACAATTGTCAACTAGCAGAAATGTATAGCGTTATTATATTGTTTTTCTTTATTATACATTATTATTAAGGTTGATTAAAAGAACAGAATTTTCCCAAATCTCTGTGTTGAGCTACGGTTCATTAATAACATTAGTCATTATACTTTTTCTTTGCCATAAAGTTTCAGCTCATCAGTCATGAAATAAAGGTGAATTGAACCGAAATCAGAAACCATAAAATAACCATTAATTTGACGCTTCCTTCACCACTATTACGACAGAAGACAGATGCTGCTCAGCTTTGACCTTTGGGTGGGTTATAAAAATAGTTTTGGCTCCTGGTTAATGCTTTGCTCTTCACTGTCTTGACCTTGTGCACTGTTTTGTAAAACAGGGTTTCTGCAGTTTTCACCAAGTCAAATCCAAGACTTTTTAAGAACATTTTTGAATTAAATTTCAAGGATTTTTTTCTAATGACTAGTGTAACAGATTTTACTTTCCCCTTTAAAATTCAAATTAAGGTATTTCTTAGCCACATATTTTTAATAATGTGTTAAAACAAGTACACTCTAGTTATATACAGTACATATGGCTTGCATGGTTCAGGATTGGTAGAGCTACGTATCGATGAATTTGCTCTTCAGTGTTTGAACTCTCAGCAATGATTTTAAATCACACTGAACTGAGCTAAACTGAACTGAACTTAAACACTAAACTAAAAACTGAACTACACTGTTCCAGTTACTATGACCATTTATGTGAAGCTGCTTTGACACAATCTACATTGTAAAAGCGCTATACAAATAAAGCTGAATTGAATATAGTTTTTTTTTTCCAGCATAACTTTGAAAAAAATAAATAAATAAAAAAACGTTTTAAAAATTTGAATAAACTAAATGTATGTTATTCAAGTCAGTGACCTCAGCAGGTTGCTGGAGAAATCCTAAACAAATGTCAAAAAATAAAGGAAAATATCACAATAAAGGAAGGAATATAATTAAACATTATTGGGAAAAAGAGATAATAAATGTAACTTTTGTTAAATGTTGGAATTTTGGCTGTACCGATTGGGTAGCATTACATGGACAAGGGACAATTAACCCAAAACACCATATTTCAGTACATTTAAGACTGTTTAAAGACTAAAATTTTGTTTTAAAATTAAGAATTTTAAGTGCCCACGGACACACTGTAAACCATTATTATAATTAACACTGTATTTAACTGTAATTAACTGGACAGATATGCAGTAATGTTGCTGCATTTGAAAGTTAAATTGTAAAAATTTCTTTCTATTTCAAAGACATTCAAAATTGTAAATACATAAACAGCAAGATAATTGGTGCTCTTAATGTAAATACAGTATTTTGCTGTTATTGATTTACAGTAAGGATCCGTTTACACTAATATGTTTTACATTGAAAACTTGCAAGTTTTGCTGTGGTTACGTCTTTCGTCCATACCACCCTGGAGTTTTCGAGCCCCAAAAACAAAGCGTTTTGAAAACGCTGAAGAGGCCGTTTTCATTTTAAAACGCTGCTGCTCTATGTCAACGTGGATGGGGGGAAAATGGAGACACCTACAGTGTATGTTGTAGGGTAAACAAACAGACAAAGTAGCAAGATGCACTAGGGCTCCATTTACACTGGTGAAGTGCTGCCAGTAAGTTACTGTAGGTTCAACCTGACATGGTTAACAGTGCACCATATAAAAGTTTGAAAAATTCAGAAAGAAATGACATGTTAGTACCCACATCAAAAGAATTAAAAAAAAAGTGACTTGTTCAAATAAAATGTCAAAATATGGGTAATATTCTGTCATCATTCAGCATAACAGATACAAGAATGCAAAAATGAAAACACTGATTGTGTTCTGTAAATCAAGCTACACATATAGTATTGTATATGAAATGCATTATTTTATCTCTTTGAGAAGACAGTGATTTAACACAACATGTTAAGTCCTCAAACTATAGAGAAAAGTCTGAGAATTATTGCAGAATATGTTATCTTTTTTTTTTTTTTAACAAATCCAAATGCAAAGTAAAATCAGGTCAAAAGGACAATCCACTTTACCTGTAAAAGCCAATACAATGCGAAACAACACAAACACAAAGTCTATTTGGCCTTTAATAAAAAATTTATTTTAATTAATAAAATGACAATTGTGGAAACCAACCGTGTCGTGCAAAACGTTCAATCAAACAGGACAGAAACATCTCAACCACAAAAAAAATGCTCCTGTACAATTAAATAAAAACACATCACGGCATATCTGAACAAAACAAACACTCTTGTGCGCAGACGTGTGGAGGTAGTTCATTGTCTGACAGGATCTGAGATCAGGGTTTTGCCAGAGTGAGAGAGTCTGTGTCAGTGGTCTTCTCTCCTCCGGCAGCAATGTGTCGAGCTCTTTCCTCATTCAAACTCTTCAACAGACCCAACACCTCAGGGTGATGAAACTTGCCTGTGATCACAGAACATGGATCTGTGAGTGTGCTGTTTAAACCACGTTTTCCATTTCAATGCTACATTTGATCCTTTAAACATGCTAGATGGACATGTATGATTGTTGTGTATTTATCTTGCCTCTTTTAAAGCAACTTGCACAATACAGTATTCCAAAAATAAGACTCTTCAGTTAAACGATTTTTTAAAGATGCTTTTTCAAATAATTGCTTTTGTTTTTTTAAAGCCAAAACTTGTTTGTTCTTTGAGTATTTTGAAATATTAGCAATTCTTGTTCTTGTCATTTTCAAATATTGAATATTGATATGACTTTTACACAACAATGTAGAAATGAGGCCGATATCCTGTAGAAGACTTGTGATTTCAGTCTCCACCTGGGTCACGGCACCAATTTGTAGGGAATTTCAGAACCCAAACCAGGAGACTCGTTACAAGCAGATTTTTTATTAAGACTTGTTGGTTGTTCTGCAGTCAAACAGTCATCTTCAAGAAGTCTACACTCGGTCTGTATTCTGTATTCAAAAATTATAATTTGTACCAATTGTGAACCAGGACCACAAGGTTCTTATTTTGCACAAGTGTATACTTTTGAATAGACAATTAATACATTGTGCGAGTTAAAATTATTGTTTCTTATTTTATGCCAAAAATCATTAAAATATTAAGAAAAAATCATGTTCCAAAAATACATTACATTTGAATTTCAATAGCAATAGAAAATTCAATAGAATTTTAATAAAAATATTCATTGCTAAGAAATTGAAAACTTTACTGGCAATTTCTCCATGTTTTGATTTGGAGATGATCAAACTATGGAGAATTTTTAAATAGTTTTATTGACCAAATATTGTCATATCTCAAGAAACTACACGTCAATGGAAAACTTGTTTATTCAGCATTTAGGTGATGTATACATCTCAACAAAAAAAAATAAAAAAATTACACCATGACTGGTTTTGTGGTCCAGGGTCACAATTTAGCTAAAAATATATTTTAAAAATCCTGCATGGTGTCTGTAGAATTTTTCAAAATAAAACATCAAAACATTGACTACTATAGACCCTTTTCACATTTCTGGGTTTCTCAGAAGCGGAAGTCCTCATAGTTGGGGAAACTTTGAGTGCAGTGAAAATGAGAATACAACAAATATTTTTTTTACAATCTTATTTGCATAATTAATAAAAGAAAAACTCCACGATGGTGTTATGAAGACTTTCAGAAAAAGAAAATAATAGAGACTGATAACCACATTCAGAGGAGAGAATACAGTCAAATTTACTGTCCTGTCCCATAGACGCTGCATTAGAAACTCACTGCATAAGCGGTAATTTTTTTTTTTGTAATTTGACGCAAAGCTGATATAAAACATTCATAAATGTTTATATGTTTAAAATAAATCGAAATATGCTGATGACCGTTAAATGTGTCATAACAGGCTTATAAAAAGGGTCCATGGCCAAAAAACAAATAGGTAACATTTGCAGTCACTCCTGCTATTATTGTACTGGATATACAAATGCAATAGTATCGAATTTTTTTGTGGATGTTTTGTTTTTTTAACACCAAGGTAACTTAAAACTAAATATAGTGGACCTTCATAATTTACTTACTGTGGAAACATATCATCACAGTCTGTGGAAATAGTCCCTCAAATGCTGAGCTTGTGAAAGAAGAGTGTGTGTATCTGTGAAAGCTCAAACCTTCAGTAGAGACGAAGAACTCCTGCAGTCGTCCAGGTTTCCCTTCTAACTCCTCATACTCATGAGCTTGTATGATCATCTCCAGGTTGTCCAGCTCCTTCACCAGTTTGGCCTCTGGACTGGACTGAGTCTCATACTCCTGAACGAAATGCAGACTTGTTTATAATGCTGTTGCCAACCAAAAAAAATAATAATAATTTTTTTCATTTACTCACCTCCCATAAATTGTAAATCTCTTTCCGCAAGCCATCATCTAACAGGCCTGTGATGTGCACCATTGCATCCTGAAGAGTAATACTCTCAGTGTTTAATGTGTGATCAAATTAAAAAAGGTCAAATGTTTACTTCAAACCATCATACCTTTTCCCTTCTGTGCTTCTCTGCTTTGCTAACATTGTCTGCTGGAGCAATATCTCCCACAATGCACTCAGCCAAGTCATGAACTAAAGCCAGCTTCATGCATCTGCGAAGAGAAGAGCGAATCAAACATGCGAGTCAATTTAAGTGAAGTGTTGAAATCACTTTTTTTGAATGATTTCACACATTTTAGAATGACAGTATTTTCATTTTAAATTATTTAAATAGATTTTAATAGAATAGTAAAAATGTTTTACTTTTTATACAATTTATATTGTAACAGAATATTAATAATTCACAAACGACACATTCGCTCTCTTTCTGTATTATTATGACAGGCATCTTAAGACTAAAAAGAAACATGCCAACTCAGTCTCTTGGCATTTATTACAGTGTTTTTACAATAACTATTTTCAAGGTATACCATGGTTTGGAAAAGTCAAGGTTTTAAATCACAAAAATTTTCTGTTATACCATTCTTAAGGTATGTGTAAGTGTTTTTGTTGTTGTTGTTGTTTTTTAGGACAACCTTCACATTTTTTTAAGACAACGGTATCTCCGGCAGAAAAGATATCCAAAGATGCCATTTTAAATTGTAAAGAAACATTTGTAATTGTAAAGAGACATTTAAAAATACCATATTTTAGAGCAGTAATCACAGTACCGTGAAACTGTGATATTTTTTTGTCCAAGGTTATCATACCTTCCCAAATTTTATAACGGCCCATTCTTAGAGACAAGTTTCAAATTTTGAGTAAACAGCTCACTTAAAAGGATGTTTGTCATTTACTGATCCTTTACTTGTTCCAAACCTGTTTCACTAAATTCTGTTGGAAATTATAAAGATACCTTGAAGAAAGATGGAAATCTGTAACCATTGACTTCCATAGGATTTGTTTTTCCTGCTACACAAGTAAGTTGATAGTAAGTTTTCAATTTTTTTCTAAATATCGGGAAAAAAGGAGAATCATAAAGGTTTGAAACCATAAGGGGCAGTAAATGGAGTTAATTTTTTTTACGAAAGAACTAAACTAACTGAATCTAAATAAACCACACAAATATGAATGAAACTTGATTAACTGAACAATTGTTTGTAAATTAAACGAAAAAGTCTGAATAAAGTGCAAATGAATATAATCACCGTAAATGAGAACCAACCTTAAAAACCCGCACAAAAGTATAGAAGATTGAATCTAAACGTATACCCAAATAAATTGGCTAAGCCCCGCCTTAAATTAGTTATCAACCAATCCTAGCATAGCAACTGTTGCTCGCTTCCAAAACGATTTGATTGTTTCAGCTGTTTAATAGCTTACTTTATTTCATAGCAGTCGTCGACAAGTACGTTACAAATGTGTTTGTAAGTTTCTACGACAGCAAAGAAGCTGAAGCTGATATAAGAGACATTTATCAACAGTTTTAAGAAAATTTGAGAAGCAGCAGCAGCTATGGACCCTAATGTCAACCGTGGTTCGCTCGAACTTGCCTGAGGTAACGATAAATGGTCAACATACCAAAATAACCATCGATTTTAGCTCTCATACAGACCTTTCTTTGTTGACACTGATGTCCTGTATTGTTAAGGCCATCATTGACATTCTGTACATATGATCAGACACACTCTCTGGCTGTTTGATATTTCTGTACACCCATCCTGTTCGCGGCACTCGCTGCAACACAAGCAAGCGTGAATGTACAAGTAATAAAGTCACCTAAAACGTTGATTATAATACATATTTCACTCACTTTTAGCTGTCCGACTAGTTTCATGAATTGTAACATGTTGTCCATTCCGTTACATCAACCAATAAGGACACTCCAACGTCAGCGAACCGGATGTAAAACAGTCCGAAAGAGGGAATTGCCTGCTGTTGTAATGACAGACTGCCGCCGCTAGATAGAGATAGAATACAGGAGTCAACAGGGTCTTACAATTCAAGCACAACTCAACGTAAGTACTTCCAAATATTTTAATTAATAACTGATCACTGAATGTATTAGATAACTTTTCTATACTTAATTTGGTAATATTGGCTTTTTAATTATGAAGACTGCTTTATATATACATGAAATTAGGTACAGTATTAACCTACTTAACTTTGAGAAAAAAATCTTAAATTTCATTTTACATTTTTATAATGTATTTTTGTTCATTAATGAAAATGTACAACCACAATCAGGAGATCAATATAAAAAAACATATAAGAGAGCAAAAATACAAGTTGCAATAACTGCAGAGAGAAAAAAAGACTAACAAAACAAAGAAATGGGTAATTAAGTTATAGTTTTGCCAAAGCTTATGAAAGTAAATAAATTAAGAGCATTACAGGAAAGTTACTTAACTCAAATCAGAGTCAATAGACAACAGTTCTTTATATATACCCAAAATCGGGCACATTTTTTTGTTGTTACACAAACGGAAAGATTTAAGCAGTGAGTCAGAAAATGTTGAAAAGTAGGGATTGAAGCTATCCATTTTGTTTGATAAAAAAAATCCAATCAAAATAAAAAAGTTGAAGATACATTCTTTAGATTTATGTGTAGATTCTGAGTAATAACAAAAAAAAATCTTTTTCAACTAAAATATTATGCAAAAGTAGGAGGTGTGTTTAAATAAGGATACAAGTCAAACCAAAACTTCTGAACAAATGCACACATACAAAATACATGTATTAAAGTTTCTAAGTGTTTGTGGGGAAATATTAAAGTGAAACTAAAAATGTGTTTAAATCGTGTGCTTTTTAATTCATTCATTCTCCACAAGTCAACCAAAGTCAAGACTTTTAATCAAGAATGTTTTACAATTATAAATGATTGCTTTTCAATTTTTATTGATATTTTTTTATTGCGTATAAATTTAGTGAAATCTTAATTGATGAATTATTATATATAAAATGTAATGTACAAGATAAAAATAAATTAATATTAATAATTTTGCAGTAAATAGTTTTTTTTTAATAGTGTTATATATATATGTATATATGTACTAATGCATTGCTGAAACAATTTCATAATCAGAATATACAGAATATATCTTGAAGTTCTCAAGCATGTAGCAGATGAAAATATCTCAGATGTGGACATTATGTGGAGTGATGAGGAAGATGAAGATAAAGTTTGTTATAAGCAAGGCGCATTCTATACAACAAAACCTCAAAATAAAGTAAAAATGTTACAATCTTAATGTTTGTGTTTTTTGTTTTGTTTTTTTTAAACAAATTTCAAGATTATACCAGCAATAATATATTTATTTATTTTATTTTTATTTTTTGTATTTTATGTTGTAATAATGTTGTCTAATGAAATTGAGAAAAAAAATATATTTAAAGGGTCTTGAATTTTTAATATTATAGTTTTGTCTCATTTATCATCAGATCAAAAACTGTTAGAAAACATTCTTTTACATTTTTTAGTAACTTGCAACATTATTTTGGGTCTTTAGGGGTTAAAAAATACTACTTACTACACATCCAAACTAAAAAACTTGAATATATAAAGAACTAAGTGCATGCAAATATTTAAAATAATTATTTCAATTGAAAATACTGCCACAAACCTTTTTAATCTTCAATGTCATTATTTTTTTAATTAATTCATTTTAATTAATTCCAAATTGCTTAAAATTAGTATTGAAAAACGAAATGCATAATCTTTACCTGATCCAAATTATAAATGAAAAATTTTAATATTAAAACTTTAAATGGCACACAAGTTGCTGTTGATAAGTTGTCTGGCTTGATAAGTTTAGTTATAGTTTTCATAATCATAGCCTTTTAAAAATCATCATTTAGGTTTTTATTTTCGTTTTAAAAAAGTTTCTCCGCAGCTCAAAAACGTTTAGTTGAGAGTACATTTCTATCAGTGTTGGATTATGGTCATATACTTTTATATGCACGCACCTCTGAATGTGTTTTTTTTTTTTAAACTGGACATTGTTTATCATAGTGCCTTAAGATTTGTCACTGGTTCAAGTGCATGCACACATCAATGTAATTTATTAAAAAAAATACAGAATGGACCTTATTACAGTTAAGGAGAAAACAACATATCTTAGTTTTCATTATTAAAGCTTTAGTTAGTAAATCACAACAGTATCTAATTTGTTGGAGTACTATTCAAATACTCAGCAGATATACTTTTACTTAAGATGACATTTTTTCACACAGAGTAAGGTCGATCTGCCTTCTCTAAGTATGCTTCAAATGTATGTAATGAGCTTCAACATATACTACATATGAAATCCTTACCATCTAACGCTAAAAATAAAAATATTTTAAAGCCTGTCAATTTATAACAGTGCACGTTTTAACAATTGATTATGGTTTATATTATTTTTTTGTGTCTGTTTTTTGTGTGTGTGTGTGTTACTGACTCATACTGCCTCTCTTGACCAGGACGCCCTGGTAGAAGAGATATTATATCATAATGGGACATTCCTGGTTAAATAAATAAATAAACAAATAAATAAATAAATAAATAAATAAATGAATAAATACATTTACATTTAAGTGATTTGTACTTTAAAACTGTAATAAATATTTTTTAGTACTTATGGCATTCACAAGTCTATTACTTTCAAAGTTTCACATTGTAATCTTTTAACTATCTTGTGACATTTAGTAAAGGCTGTTTTGGCCTTGACACACACACACACACACACACACACACACACACACACACACACACACACACATATTGTCTACAATGTTTCCTTCAAGTAAATGAGTGGGACTGAGAAACGCCCACCTCGCCATGTGCTGCCATCACATTCCTCACAGACTGCAAACAAACTCATTCAAGGCTGATTTATGAACTACTTTTTTGGCAAAAAACATAAATCATAACAGCTTTACTTTAACCACAGTAATCACCTTCATAAGTGCAGTGGTAAGATGCAAATGAGGTTCTCCAGACTGACAACTGACTCACAATTTACATGATATGACTCTCTTCCTCATGCAAATCTGTTTCAGGGGGCACGTGTTTGTAGTAACAGATATAGCTTTTATTCTGTGATGGTCATCATCCTCTACCTATGTCATTGCTTTTTCTCCTGACACGTTTCCTGGAGGTGCTCTCTATTTGTAGACCGCATGTAGACAATACATCCTGCACGTGGGTGTTCTGGTTATCATTTCTTGAACATCCACCAGGAAGGATGTGCTGGGGATATTTTGCACATTATGGGATGCCCGCTGCCAGCTGTAATGAAATGGGGCTTTGAGCTGTTGAACTCATTCATTCATTTATTCATTTTCCTTCTACTTAATCCTTTATTCTTCAGGGGTCGCCACTGCGGAATGAACCGCCAACTTATCCAGCATATGTCTTACAAAGTCTATGCCCTTCCAGCTTCAACCCAGTATTAGGAAACATCCATACACTCTCACATTCACACACGCACTCATACGCTATGGCCAATTTAGTTGATTCAATTCACCTACACTCTAAGAAATAAAGGTATGCGAGGTCACTTTATATCACTGGGGTGGTACCTGTCACTTGGGTGGTACCTTTTTCAAAAAATACACAATTGTACTTAAAGGGTACATATTGGTACCTTAAAAGTATATATTAGTACCCAAGAGGAACACTTTTGTAGTTTTTAGGTAATAATATGTACCCTTGAGGTATTAATATGGACATTTTAGGTACAAATTTGTACCTTTTGAAAAGGTACCACCCCAGTGACAGCTCGCGCATCTTTATTTCTGATAGGGTATAGTGCTTGTCTTTGGACTGTGGGGAAATTCGGAGCAGTTTAACTTGGGCGTTTAAAAATGTATGTCACTGATGGAATTTAAAATCATAAATGATTATTGATTATTTAAACAAAACTACAATAAAAAAATAATGTTTTAAAACAGCATTACAGTTTCAAATAAATTGTTTATTATTTGAATATATTTTAGATGAAATCAGAAGATTCATTTAATAAATAGGTCTTTAATAAATACAAATCTGCACTATTTTTTTTATTTTAAATAAACATAAGATTTCCAATCCCAATTCGACCCCCTTAGCCCTTCTTCTTACCCCTACCCCGCGTTTTGTGCATTCCCATGAACAGGTAGAGGTGTTACAACTCTCTTTTTCTTGAAGGCGTAGGGCTAAGGGGTAGATAGCCCTTCGAACAGAGATTTTTCAGGACCACACTCTAAACCAAGTGGTAAGAAATTTCCCAGAATACCCTTGCCACAACGGCAGGATAGCTGCACCCTGAAGTAGGGAGATCCACAAATTAGTGGGTTATTTTTTTTGTCATTATTACAAATTTTTAAAACAAACAAGCACATTCATATACTGTTCAAATACATTCATAACCACATTCAGTTTTACTGTCATGCTTTTAAAAAAACGCTAAAATAAAAACCACTTAGTTTTGTTATTTATAATGCCTAATACCAACTCTTGTGTAGCAGTTCCACAACATTCTGTCACTCCATGACACCCAAATACCCTGTCAGAAAAGTCTAGTGGCTGGGAATGGCCCTTTTACAGTGTCTTTACATAGATGAATATGGTCACTGTGTAAATGCGCAGTACAGTTACAAGCTTATTGCCACATTAGGTCCTTTAGATAACATGATGTATGCCTTCAGTGACTTCCTGAAGATAAATACCCACATATAACACAACTAACTACAGCAGTCACAATCGTCTGATTTCCAACGCAATCTCACTATAACTTATCTGGATAACTTAATTGGTTTGATTAATCCACTTAAATAAAAAAAATCTACTTAAAACTTTTAAGTTAACTTAATTGATTTTTGTTGGGACAACATGATAAGATTGTGTGGAACCCAAGCATT